AGCCTCTGTTGTTTCTTGATTCTTCACTAAAACCACAATGTTTGATTATAAAATTAAATAATTTAATTTATTAATCAAACGTTCTGGATTCAGTATTTTACACAATATAGTATATTATATAAAATATGTACAATTCTCATTCACGTATGTCTGTACTATCAAATTTGTTGATTATGCATTTCATATGTAACCAGACTTTGCATTGCTATAAAGTGTTAAGTTTTTACTCCTTATCAAATATTGTCACCTTAAATATGACTTCTTAACCTTTAAAATAAAAAATTAAACTGACTTTTGTACAATTTAATCAAACTTCAAGCAAACAAATAAAAATTTTAAACAAAATAGAATATTTTCTGTAATAATAGTAACTGAATGTCAATGGTAACTATAGTTACCAAGAAAAACATTTATAATAAATTAATCAAGATAAAAGATTTGTAAATTTCTTATACCATAAAAATATTAATATTGATGATGATAAACTATTTATTTACAAATTATATAATAAATACAATTTATATATTAGAGGTAGCCCTATTGGCTAGTGTCAACAGAGAATGTGATGTAGTTTATAACAATTATATTCGTTGACTTTTATATGAAAATGATCAGTTTCCAATGGAAATAAGATGGAAGGTTACCAATTAGCAATCACATTTTTCCAGTCTATTTCATAGTTTTAACAGAGCATAATCTCTGATAGTTTAATGTTTGATTGTTTTTTCTTAGTATTTTTCTTGTTTACTTCAATCCATGCATATGCATAAGAAACACTGATCAGGCTGCATATTCTCTTTTTCATTTTACAATTATTATTAGTCAAATCATTTTCCTTGTTTTATCAGTTATTCAAGACATCATTTCTCATAATTAAGTACATTTTCTAGCAACAACAATGAGACACATTAAACATATTTTTCTCGAAAGTAAAGCAAAAATCTGTTTCTCATGGAATCATCCCTCTTTGAAACTGGACTGGATAACACATACAGTAAAGTATCAATTATCCGAAGCAATTCGGCACTGGGGTTGTTCGGATAACTGATTTTTTGGATAACTGATCTTGTATGAAAAAATATATTAACCTATCCCCTGTTGAAATTTTTCTCCATTGTGTGTCGCTTCGCGTTGGATTTTTGTCGATGTTAAGCCTAATGAAAATTTTTAATAATAATAATTGTGGCTATTGTATCAGTAATTATTTCTTTATTTTGCACAAACAAAATAAATATATTGAAAAATATAAAAACAAAAAAAATTATATTTCGGAAGTTAATCCAATATTAAAAACATCCCGACTCATCATGACACGTGTCCTGACACACAGTCCTCAGAAAAACATCACACAAAACAAGCAAAACTCTTTCTTTTTCATGGGTTTATCTGGAGATGTCAGCC